GGATAACGGGAGAATGGCGGGATAACGGGAGAATGGCGGGATAACGGGAGAATGGCGGGATAACGGGAGAATGGCGGGATAACGGGAGAATGGCGGGATAACGGGAGAATGGCGGGATAACGGGAGAATGGCGGGATAACGGGAGAATGGCGGGATAACGGGAGAATGGAGGGATAACGGGAGAATGGCGGGATAACGGGAGAATGGCGGGATAACGGGAGAATGGCGGGATAACGGGAGAATGGCGGGATAACGGGAGAATGGCGGGATAACGGGAGAATGGCGGGATAACGGGAGAATGGCGGGATAACGGGAGAATGGCGGGATAACGGGAGAATGGCGGGATAACGGGAGAATGGCGGGATAACGGGAGAATGGCGGGATAACGGGAGAATGGCGGGATAACGGGAGAATGGCGGGATAACGGGAGAATGGCGGGATAACGGGAGAATGGCGGGATAACGGGAGAATGGCGGGATAACGGGAGAATGGCGGGATAACGGGAGAATGGCGGGATAACGGGAGAATGGCGGGATAACGGGAGAATGGCGGGATAACGGGAGAATGGCGGGATAACGGGAGAATGGCGGGATAACGGGAGAATGGCGGGATAACGGGAGAATGGCGGGATAACGGGAGAATGGCGGGATAACGGGAGAATGGCGGGATAACGGGAGAATGGCGGGATAACGGGAGAATGGCGGGATAACGGGAGAATGGCGGGATAACGGGAGAATGGCGGGATAACGGGAGAATGGCGGGATAAAGGGAGAATGGCGGGATAACGGGAGAATGGCGGGATAACGGGAGAATGGCGGGATAACGGGAGAATGGCAGGATAACGGGAGAATGGCGGGATAACGGGAGAATGGCGGGATAACGGGAGAATGGCGGGATAACGGGAGAATGGCGGGATAACGGGAGAATGGCGGGATAACGGGAGAATGGCGGGATAACGGGAGAATGGCGGGATAACGGGAGAATGGCGGGATAACGGGAGAATGGCGGGATAACGGGAGAATGGCGGGATAAAGGGAGAATGGCGGGATAACGGGAGAATGGCGGGATAACGGGAGAATGGCGGGATAACGGGAGAATGACGGGATAACGGGAGAATGGCGGGATAACGGGAGAATGGCGGGATAACGGGAGAATGGCGGGATAACGGGAGAATGGCGGGATAAAGGGAGAATGGCGGGATAACGGGAGAATGGCGGGATAACGGGAGAATGGCGGGATAACGGGAGAATGGCGGGATAAAGGGAGAATGGCAGGATAACGGGAGAATGGCGGGATAACGGGAGAATGGCGGGATAACGGGAGAATGGCGGGATAACGGGAGAATGGCGGGATAAAAGGAGAATGGCGGGATAACGGGAGAATGGCGGGATAAAGGGAGAATGGCAGGATAACGGGAGAATGGCGGGATAAAGGGAGAATGGCGGGATAAAGGGAGAATGGCGGGATAACGGGAGAATGGCGGGATAAAGGGAGAATGGCGGGATAACGGGAGAATGGCGGGATAACGGGAGAATGGCGGGATAACGGGAGAATGGCGGGATAACGGGAGAATGGCGGGATAAAAGGAGAATGGCGGGATAACGGGAGAATGGCGGGATAAAGGGAGAATGGCAGGATAACGGGAGAATGGCGGGATAAAGGGAGAATGGCGGGATAAAGGGAGAATGGCGGGATAACGGGAGAATGGCGGGATAAAGGGAGAATGGCGGGATAACGGGAGAATGGCGGGATAACGGGAGAATGGCGGGATAACGGGAGAATGGCGGGATAAAGGGAGAATGGCGGGATAAAGGGAGAATGGCGGGATAACGGGAGAATGGCGGGATAACGGGAGAATGGCGGGATAACGGGAGAATGGCAGGATAACGGGAGAATGGCGGGATAACGGGAGAATGGCGGGATAACGGGAGAATGGCGGGATAACGGGAGAATGGCGGGATAACGGGAGAATGGCGGGATAACGGGAGAATGGCGGGATAACGGGAGAATGGCGGGATAAAGGGAGAATGGCGGGATAACGGGAGAATGGCGGGATAACGGGAGAATGGCGGGATAACGGGAGAATGGCAGGATAACGGGAGAATGGCGGGATAACGGGAGAATGGCGGGATAACGGGAGAATGGCGGGATAACGGGAGAATGGCGGGATAACGGGAGAATGGCGGGATAACGGGAGAATGGCGGGATAACGGGAGAATGGCGGGATAACGGGAGAATGGCGGGATAACGGGAGAATGGCGGGATAACGGGAGAATGGCGGGATAACGGGAGAATGGCGGGATAAAGGGAGAATGGCGGGATAACGGGAGAATGGCGGGATAACGGGAGAATGGCGGGATAACGGGAGAATGACGGGATAACGGGAGAATGGCGGGATAACGGGAGAATGGCGGGATAACGGGAGAATGGCGGGAGAAATGGCGGGATAAAGGGAGAATGGCGGGATAACGGGAGAATGGCGGGATAACGGGAGAATGGCGGGATAACGGGAGAATGGCGGGATAAAGGGAGAATGGCAGGATAACGGGAGAATGGCGGGATAACGGGAGAATGGCGGGATAACGGGAGAATGGCGGGATAACGGGAGAATGGCGGGATAAAAGGAGAATGGCGGGATAACGGGAGAATGGCGGGATAAAGGGAGAATGGCAGGATAACGGGAGAATGGCGGGATAAAGGGAGAATGGCGGGATAAAGGGAGAATGGCGGGATAACGGGAGAATGGCGGGATAAAGGGAGAATGGCGGGATAACGGGAGAATGGCGGGATAACGGGAGAATGGCGGGATAACGGGAGAATGGCGGGATAAAGGGAGAATGGCGGGATAAAGGGAGAATGGCGGGATAACGGGAGAATGGCGGGATAACGGGAGAATGGCGGGATAACGGGAGAATGGCGGGATAACGGGAGAATGGCGGGATAACGGGAGAATGGCGGGATAACGGGAGAATGGCGGGATAACGGGAGAATGGCGGGATAACGGGAGAATGGCGGGATAACGGAGAATGGCGGGATAAAGGGAGAATGGCGGGATAACGGGAGAATGGCGGGATAAAGGGAGAATGGCAGGATAACGGGAGAATGGCGGGATAACGGGAGAATGGCGGGATAACGGGAGAATGGCGGGATAAAGGGAGAATGGCGGGATAACGGGAGAATGGCGGGATAACGGGAGAATGGCAGGATAACGGGAGAATGGCGGGATAACGGGAGAATGGCGGGATAACGGGAGAATGGCGGGATAAAGGGAGAATGGCGGGATAACGGGAGAATGGCGGGATAACGGGAGAATGGCGGGATAACGGGAGAATGGCGGGATAACGGGAGAATGGCGGGATAACGGGAGAATGGCGGGATAACGGGAGAATGGCGGGATAAAGGGAGAATGGCGGGATAACGGGAGAATGGCGGGATAACGGGAGAATGGCGGGATAACGGGAGAATGGCGGGATAACGGGAGAATGGCGGGATAACGGGAGAATGGCGGGATAACGGGAGAATGGCGGGATAACGGGAGAATGGCGGGATAACGGGAGAATGGCGGGATAACGGGAGAATGGCGGGATAACGGGAGAATGGCGGGATAACGGGAGAATGGCGGGATAACGGGAGAATGGCGGGATAACGGGAGAATGGCGGGATAACGGGAGAATGGCGGGATAAAGGGAGAATGGCGGGATAACGGGAGAATGGCGGGATAACGGGAGAATGGCGGGATAACGGGAGAATGGCGGGATAACGGGAGAATGGCGGGATAACGGGAGAATGGCGGGATAACGGGAGAATGGCGGGATAACGGGAGAATGGCGGGATAACGGGAGAATGGCGGGATAACGGGAGAATGGCGGGATAACGGGAGAATGGCGGGATAACGGGAGAATGGCGGGATAACGGGAGAATGGCGGGATAACGGGAGAATGGCGGGATAACGGGAGAATGGCGGGATAACGGGAGAATGGCGGGATAACGGGAGAATGGCGGGATAACGGAGATGGCGGGAGAACGGAGAATGGCGGGATAACGGGAGAATGGCGGGATAACGGGAGAATGGCGGGATAACGGAGAATGGCGGGATAACGGGAGAATGGCGGGATAACGGGAGAATGGCGGGATAACGGGAGAATGGCGGGATAACGGGAGAATGGCGGGATAACGGGAGAATGGCGGGATAACGGGAGAATGGCGGGATAACGGGAGAATGGCGGGATAACGGGAGAATGGCGGGATAACGGGAGAATGGCGGGATAACGGGAGAATGGCGGGATAACGGGAGAATGGCGGGATAACGGGAGAATGGCGGGATAACGGGAGAATGGCGGGATAACGGGAGAATGGCGGATAACGGGAGAATGGCGGGATAACGGGAGAATGGCGGGATAACGGGAGAATGGCGGGATAACGGGAGAATGGCGGGATAACGGGAGAATGGCGGGATAACGGGAGAATGGCGGGATAACGGGAGAATGGCGGGATAACGGGAGAATGGCGGGATAACGGGAGAATGGCGGGATAACGGGAGAATGGCAGGATAACGGGAGAATGGCGGGATAACGGGAGAATGGCGGGATAACGGGAGAATGGCGGGATAACGGGAGAATGGCGGGATAACGGGAGAATGGCGGGATAACGGGAGAATGGCGGGATAACGGGAGAATGGCGGGATAACGGGAGAATGGCGGGATAAAGGGAGAATGGCGGGATAACGGGAGAATGGCGGGATAACGGGAGAATGGCGGGATAACGGGAGAATGGCGGGATAACGGGAGAATGGCGGGATAACGGGAGAATGGCGGGATAACGGGAGAATGGCGGGATAACGGGAGAATGGCGGGATAACGGGAGAATGGCGGGATAACGGGAGAATGGCGGGATAACGGGAGAATGGCGGGATAAAGGGAGGGGGAGGAACGAAGCTTCAAAACGTGAAGCCAACCCGCAACAGCCCGAAGCACTCAAACCTGCTGGCCTGAACCACTCACCGAACCTCACGGCCCGAAGCACTCGGAGAGGGTCGTCAAGGAAGGTCTGGTGGGGAGGGAGAGGCGTGCGGATGACGCCCCCATTCAGGTCCGAGATTCCTGGGAGGGGGAGGGGGGTGGGGAAGGGGAGGAGGAGGGGTTTAGGGTGTTTGGAATGTTGGCGGGATGGTAAGGAGGGAGAGGCATGCGGATGATGTCCCCATTCAGGTCGGAGATTCCTGAAAGGGGGAGGGAGGGGACTGATAGAGAATGAGAGGGGTGCGGTGGGGGCCGGGAGGTGTGGAGGCCGTGGGGTGCTTGGTTGGATGTTGGGGAGGGAGAGGCGTGGCGATGATGCCCCCATTCAGGTGGGAGATGCACAGAGCTACCAGCTGACCTCACCCCAGAGGGGTCCTCCACTTGCTTGCACCATGGTGATGCTGTAGAGCAATCTCCAGAGAGCAAGTAGAGGACCCCTCCACCTAGTTTTGAGAATTCTTAAAAGTAACACCAATATACCAGCTCACCTCAACCCAGAGGGGTCCTCCACTTGCTTGCTCCATGGTGATGCTGTAGAGCAATCTCCAGAGAGCAAGTGGGGGACCCCTCCACTTGCTGCTGATCGCCAGGTCCCTCCTCATCGCACCTATGAGGTGCATCGAGAATCACTCCCTCAATCTAGAATCACTCCCTCAATCTAGAATCACTCCCTCAATCTAGAATCACTCCCTCAATCTAGAATCACTCCCTCAATCTAGAATCACTCCCTCAATCTAGAATCACTCCCTCAATCTAGAATCACTCCCTCAATCTAGAATCACTCCCGCAATCTCCTCGCCTCAAAAGTCCCTTCACCTTGCCCAGTGGGGTCCTCCACTTGCTTGCTCCGTGCTGGTGTTGTACAACATGCTGTTGATGCTCACACCTTTTTTGTTTTACATGCACTCACTCTCTCCTCACCTCACACTCTGCACAAATTCAAAGGTTGAATGATCGAAGAGCAACGCGCGCCGTATAGGGTCTGGTGTGGAGGGAGGGGGGTGCGGATGATGCCTCGCCGCAACTAATTCCTCACCTCGCCCAGTGGGGTCCTCCACTTGCTCCGTGGTAAGTTGTAAAACATGCTGTTGATCGGCAGATCCCGCCCCACGGCATCTCTGAGGTGCCTCACTCTCCTCTCACCTCGCCCAGTGGGGTCCTCAACTTGCTCTGTAGTGATGTTGTGCAACATGCTGTTGATTGTGCTGCTGAGATCCTGCTCTCGCACACAGAGCTAGCTACACAACTCAACACTCCCCTCGCCTCGCCCCGTCGGGTCCTCCACTTGCTCCGTGCTGATGCTGTGCAAAATGCTGTTGATGCTCAGATCCCTCCTCAGAGCGTCTATAAGATGCCTCAACAACCTTCTCACCTCGCCACTCCCCTCACCTCGCCCAGTGGGGTCCTCCACTTGCTCTGTGCTGATGTTGTAAAACATGCTATTGATCGTCAAGTCCCTCCTCAGTGCGTCCTCCTCTGCCGTCCCAAACTCCTGCCAAACGGGGGCACGCAGGATGTGAGGGGGATAAATGAGATTACAGCCAAAAATAGCAGCTCGCCTGAAGCTTACAGGTGAGCTGCAATGGACTCACATTAGTACTCTTCTGCCCTCTAAGGTAGTTTCAAAACAACTGGTAACCCTGCTACCCTGCCTGTGACGAGTGAGCCCTTACAATGGAGTGCGGGATTCTTGAGTCGTGGCATACTCCTCTGTCCTGAGGTTCACAAAGTCGATCCACATGCCGTGAATCATCATGGTTGCCGTCATAACTAGGTGCTCCCTCTCCGTGCTGCCTCTATACGAGGCACGACTGAGGACTTACTACAAGTAACAATGGAGGGTGCTCACAATGGAGTGCGGGATTCTTGAGTCGTGGGCATACTCCTCTGCCCTGAGGTTCACAAAGTCGATCCACATGCCGTAAATCATCATCGTTGCCGTCTCCAGGTGCTTCGACTGATCGGGGTTCCTGTGGGAATGGGAGAGGTGTAGCACGAGGGAGGGTTTTGAGGGCATGGCATGGAAAGTGCATCGCCAATGCTTCAGAAACTGCACTCATCCACATGCCGTGAATCATGGTTGCCGTCTCCAGGTGCTTCGACTGGTCGGGGTTCCTGCGGGGATGTGGGAGGAGTGGAGAGGGAGGAGAGTGGAGGAGAGCGGAGGGGAGGGGAGGCGAGCGGAGGGGAGGGGAGGCGAGCGGAGGGGAGGGGAGGCGAGCGGAGGGGAGAGGAGCGTCGCAGTGTGCTTCACTCAAACCAAACATTACTGGTTGAAAGGGTTTTGTGGCCATGGCATAGGAAGTGTATCCCTCCACTCACTTCTGAAAAGCCCTTAGCCCCGCACGATCTCTCCTCGTTCCTTGAAATACTCCGTAACCTTCCATGCAAATCGTTTTCCCTGTCCTTGAGGAGTGCTTCTCCTGTCACCCCCCCACTCACTTCCCAAAAACCCTCACGCCCGAAACCCTCCACTCACTTCTGAATGACCCCCACGCCCCGCACGACCTCCCCTCGCTCCTTGAGATACTCCGCGACCCTCTCTTCACAGAGCCTCCCCATGGTTGCTTCTCTTGTTGTTGACCCCCCACTCACTTCTCGACAACCATACGCCCTAAACCCCCATGCTCTGAACCCAGACGCCCTAAACCCAGACGCCCTAAACCCAGACGCCCTAAACCCAGACGCCCTAAACCGAGATGCCCTAAACCGAGACGCCCTAAACCGAGACGCCCTAAACCACCACGCCCTAAACCACCACGCCCGAAACCCTCCACTCACTTTTGAATGACCCCCACGCCCCCCACGACCTCTTCTAGCTCCTTGAGATACTCCGAGACCCTCTCTGCAAACTCTCTCAACCCCTATACCCCGAACCCTCTTCTGAATTCCCTCCACTCACTTTCCCCCACGCCCTAAACCCACACACCCTAAGCCCCCCACTCACTTCTGAATGACCCCCACGCCCCGCACGACCTCCCCTCGTTCCTTGAGGTATTCGGTGACTTTCTCTGCGAATTCCCTCCCCAGCAGGTTGTCGAGAGCTATGTCGATGTCTATGCAGTCCCGCCCTATCAGCTGCAATTGAGTGGGATGGAGTGGGGTGGAGAGGGGTGCAGAGGGATGGGAGAGGGGTGGAGAGGGATGGGAGGGGGCGAGTCAACAGGTTGCCTTCTCTGCGAATTCCCTCCCCAGCAGGTTGTCAAGAGCTATGTCAATGTCCATGCCGTCGCGCCCTATCAGCTGTATAAGGAGGGAAGTGGGAGAGGGATTAGGGGGGATGGAACAGGCGGAAGGGAGGGGGGAATAGGGGTAAGGGGGGAGGGGAGAGCACTCGGTGACCTTGTCTGCCAACCCCCTCCCCAGCAGGTTGTCGAGAGCTATGTCAATGTCCATGCAGTCGCGCCCGATTAGCTGCAATTGAGTGGGATGGAGTGGGGTGGAGTGGGATGGAGAGGGGCGCATAGGGATGGGAGAGGGGTGGAGAGGGATGGGAGGGGGCGAGTCAACAGGTTGCCTTCCCTGCGAATTCTCTCCCCAGCAGGTTGTCGAGAGCTATGTCAATGTCCATGCAGTCGCGCCCTATCAGCTTCATAAGGGAAGATAGATAGCCCAATAGGGGGTGGGGGGGATAGGGGATAGGGGATGGGGGATAGGAGGTAGGGGACAGGGTTAGTGGGAAGGGAGAGCCAAAAGCGGGGAAGGGAGGAACAAGAAGGAAAACAAGGGAATTCTGATCGCCTGCTTCACACCTCCTTTGAGTCACACCTCACCTTGTCGCGCACCCATCCCCCTGCCACCCACAGCCGCGCCCCAGTCCATACTTCACACACAACGGGCCAGTCCGTACCCCTGGGGTGTGTGGAGTATGAACAGACGGCTCACTTGCTTCATCCTTCACTTTCTCCCCACCCCACCCCAGTCCATACTCCATCCTTCCCACTTCGTGCCCGCCGCCCGGCCCTTACCACTCACATCCTAACAGCCCACCTCACCTTGTCGCGCACCCAGCCTCCCGCCACCCCCAGCTGACTGAGACACAACGTCACTCAGAGTGCTGAATCAGAACACCTCTCTCGCTTCACAATTCTCTTCCTCACCCCGCCCTTGCTTCACATCTCACCAGTGCTGAATAAGTGCGTCTCGACTGCACGCCCCTCACCTTGTCGCGCACCCATCCTCCCGCCACGCGCAGCTGCGTGCCGAGTCCATAGTGCGACACCACGTCCCTCAGAGTGCTGAATAAGTGCGACTCGTCCGCACTCAAATGCACCTCCCCCGTCACCCTCACTGCCTCGGGATCGCCGAACGCCATCAGTGAACCGACGCGCGGTGGCCGTTTCTGCGGCTCCGCGAGTCCTGCAGAATCTCCTGCTGACGTGGAATTCTCTCGCGCTGACTCAGCTGCGTCCAGGCTTGGGTCTTCTGGCGCGGCCGTTGTTGACGTCGGCGCTGATCGTGGAACCCGGAATTCACGCGATTGGCTCCTTTTTATCCGCTGCTGATCCTGAAACCTCCCTTCCACCGACGCAAATTCGCTAAACGACGTTTGAGGCGAGCCGAAGTTCACTGAGGAGAATCCGCGATATTGAGTTCCTCTACTACCCGCTCCTGTAAAGGCTGCTCCGGTGAGTACTTCCCCTCCTGCTCCCGCATTCGCCCCAGCCTCTGTCCCCCCCGTGTATTTCTCAGCAGCAGTGATCCGAGCTGACCGAAGGGGTGCTATGAAAGGGGTGCTAAGTCTAGCGATCCGTTCTAAACTGCGTGTTCCACCCCACCCGCGCGCGAAAGCGTAAGCAAAGGTACGCCGCGACGCGTCGCAGGAATTGAGGACTTTAAACTGCGCCAGTTGCGCTTCGACGGATGACCTAATCTCAAAGAGCCTTTGCAGCGGCTTCCCTGTCCTTGAATCTGAGAATTTAGAGGGCTTGAGCGGATCGGACGGTGGTGCGAGGAAGGTTCTAGGGAGACAGTTTACGCGGCAGCTCGGGCAGCACGACGTGGATCGTGCAGAGCGGACCCGCCACGTGTCCAAACCTACGAGCGTCGTGATCGTCCGCTCCGCTGGGAGGAGAAAAACGCGGTGAGACGCCACGGTGACGAGCTGCTTCGAAGGCCAGTTTTGACAAAGACTTCTAAGGAATGGTGAGGTGAGTGGGTTATTGTTACAGGTGCAATAGAACGAGGTAGCGAGGTCAAACGAGTACAAATTATGAGCGAAGATGCAAACGGTAAAGTGGTGCGTGCTAGCTAGCTAGTGAGAGGCTAGCATCAAGGTTCGGGATAGTCCCGAGGCGTAGGCCGAACCGAACAAGCCAGCGATGCATGGTCTGGCAAATGCAACGCGCGAAGGTTGGCGAAGCCCCGTTAGCAGTAACGGGCGAACAACGGTTGGTATTTTATGCGATATTGAAGCACGCGGCAAGGAATGTCGAAAATTCCTTACGCGGGTGCGTGTATGTCCATTTGTGTTTGTACACATCATTTAGTCGGTAGGTCTGCATTGGCTTGAGGAGTCTTCTACAAATTTAGCACTCTCCATGAATGAGCATTCCAAGTGTGTACACATGATGCTCAACCCCTGCCCGCGAATGTACTCTACCTGAATCCCTGCCCATGCACAAATGGTGTCGAACAGTTGCACACTGTTTAGACACCCGTCGAGCAAGTTGCACCAAGTAAGCGGTTCGTCAAATTGGCAACGTGTGAAACAAAACTGCCAATATATTGATGATGGACAAATGGTAGTAAAGAGAACCACAGTATAACAAAGTCTGCCAAAATTTCTGTTGCACAAGAAAAAAAACATATAACTTCCTGAGTTTTTTTGCTACCTGAAATGTTGAAGAAACCGTGCGAAATGCAGAGAAATCGATAAGCCCCAAAATTAGTGCAAGTAACTTAGACTCTAATAAAAATCAGCTGTACATAGTTTTGTCGTGCCCTTTTTGTCGTGTACAGCTGGAACCGTTTCACCATCGCATGGCTGGCTGGAACTGTGTCCACACAAACTTCCTGCCGCGTGGATCGAACGACTCGCTTCAAGCCTACTGATTCTACCCATATTGAGCCCACACTGTCCACGAACTTCCGTTGCAGGATTTGCACACCGCGGAAGCAACTGGGGGATGAAAGAGTTAAAGATTCTGTTGCGACCAGATGCTTACGCTGAAGTCCACATGGTGCTATGATTGCAACTCTTCAGCATGTCAACCAGCAAACATGAAAGAATACAACTGTTTCTGTTTATAGTCCGACGGAATGATACGCAGAGCGCGGACTATGTGCGAAAATCTTCAAACCCCGGGCAAAACGCGACACTTCAAGTCCCGTTCAAAAAATTGCATGAAGAGTGGTTTTGTTTCGACTAGTTTTTGGAGTTCGTCTTTTACGTAGATTCGGACCGCGCTTGCTTCAACTTCATGTTGCACGGTTCCCCGTGCTGATCAATGTCGCATGACTAACGGGCAAAACAAAACAAAATCAATTGTGGTTTGGGGGTCGAATAAAAGGTAAAAACTTCTGTTTACCCTGTAAGCGAGATAAACGAGATGTCATCGTCGAGCACGCTGGGGACCGCGCGACAGGATTGAAAAGTAATCACGGTCAAGAGAAACAATTACTTCCAGTTTTAAAGTTAAATATCGAATCGATGGTCCCTTATTTATCGTTCTCCCTGAATGTTGGGATGGTTCGATCTGGAGCCTCTGATTGGCTGCGGAGCTGATTCGTGCAATGAATCGGTCAAGCTGCAAAATTTCCCGCCAAAAAAGGGACTATAGTGGTCGGGCCAACCCCAGGCGATATCGGAAAACTCTACTCAAGGGGGAAAATGGACTCTTTTAGCGAAGGCCTCTAACCCAGAACATCTGTATGTGGTATGATGGTGATGCATCGTTATGAGCGAAGGCTTCAAAGCTGGTTTGCTTGGGTTGGGGGGCTCCAGTTACATGCAGTAAATGCAGTGATCCCGGGTACCCAGTCGTAACCAGTTTATGCAAAATGACAATCGCAAACTGCAGGAAACCCCATCTCCCTCTTAAGGATGTGGTACCACCGCTTACGTAAAACCCTTTAAACATGTAGTTGTGGAATCAAACCCCGGTCATCTGTTTCTTTCTAATCGAATAGGTGAACTGTACAGGCTGAAAAACAAAGCTTTCCAAACTCTCTTGGTGTCCCCTGATTCCCGAGTCCCCGACCCAAACTTCGAAATGACAATCGGCGCCACTGGTAGGCCCCACTTGACAATTTGAACACATGCCAATCTACGGAATCAGATCCATATCAATATTCTTGCAATAATCTCCCCACCACACGATTTTACAGGGGCTAGACCGTATATACCCTGTAAAACCTGGTGCATGGTTCGTGACCCACAATGCTGAAACGCTACACTGTATTCTCTGGCCCAGCTGTTCCAAGGACCCTGATGCTAGTGATCTGTCTGTCAAGGCTTGGTCTGGTCTGGAATTCAAATTCGGCACTGTATTGTACAAAAGAAATTCAGGCAATTTCTACCCCAATTTCCATCAGTGTCGCCCTGACCAGCAGTGCAGTGGAATGGTGTTTTCTTGCTTCACTGATTGCCTGGCGGTCGAGCATATCAAGAGGTTCATCACAACCAAGCGTTTGGGGGGGAAGGAACTGAAAAGAAGAGCACCATCATTTGTGTTGAGTAGAGCCCCGCAGGGGCTGCAGCAAGTGCAGACGATGCACACTCACTCTCGCAGTTCACATGCTCGATCCCTCCAAAGAGAGTCATTTCAATCAAAAATATCAGCCGATAACCTCGACACGCTGAACTCCTTAGTCAGGTTAGAATCTCTGGCGCTAGTAGCTTTCCGCTCAAGCCACCTGTGAATCAGACGCGCTTGTCAGTTGCAGATTTTAGTCTAAGCTAGTAGCAGTGAACGTTACAGTTCAGTTTCATTTCAGACGTCGCCGGGTTCATAATGATGCAGTGTCAGTCACAGCTCGCCGTCATGTCCGGCGAGCCGCATCAATGGCGTCAGCACCAAAATCAGGACCAGCGGGGCTCGTTGAACAGAGACTGCCGCACAGGCGCTAGGTCACCCTCCGCCGAGTCCGCCGCCTCTCGCGGCGGATATTCCGTCAAAGGGTTTCTGAACACGCTCAAGAGAGGAACTTCCGGAAGCAATATCGCTAAGCGCAGTAGCGCAAGCGGCACAGGGCCGGAACCCGGCGGGACCATGATCCAAAACGTGCGGAGCAGCGGGGCAAACGGCGGGATGGACGGGGACAATCCGCGAATAACGATAAGTAGACGGCGAACGTTAACGGAGATGGAGCGACTAGACGTAAACGTCAAGAATCGCAGACCAGACGCACTCGATACTATATCCTCCCCCTCAACTTCTAATTTTACTCCAAGTCAGCGCATCGCGCCGATGCGGTCACCCTCGCAGCACAAGCAGCCGCCGTATCATTCCGCGCAACTTTCCCCCGTCGCATCTCGGCGGAATATGCTTCCGCAGCAGAATATCGCGCCGAGTCCGCGCGGCGGAAAGCCGCCAGTTTCTCCGCCTGTTTCGCCTCTTCCGTCGCCAAAGCCCGGCACCACGGACACATCCGCGGAACCTTCCGCGCACAACGCCGCGCGGAGGTTCAGCTCTTGCCCCGTGCGGTCGGAGGCGCAACGTTTGCCGCAGTCCCCGGCGTCAAATGCGTCGGCCTCCGCTCCCCCCGCCACTGCTATTTCGTCGTTTCCTCTCGTCGGGATGTGGGCCAAGCAGACCAGAAAACCCGCGGGGGGTGCGGAGGGCGGAAGCGGGATCTCCGCTCCCGCGCCGGCCGGCGGTTCTGGGCGACGGGAAGACCGCGCGCGGAATGAGTTATTGCGCCCATCCGCCATCGGCGACGCTCGAAGCGGTTCCCGCAGCGGGAGAAGCATCGGCGCCACTTCTGGCAGATGCAGCCCCCCAGACGGGGATTTTCATGCGATTTCTGAGGAGGTGACCGACGGAAAACATCAGGATGCCGCGAATGGCGCCGTGACTGACGGCGCGAGTGACGGCGCGTCCGACGGCGGTGATTCGGACGAAGAGTTCGTAGATCTCTATTGGACGGCATTGGAACACCGCAAGGCGGCAAACGCGGCGGTTTCCACGGCACTGAATCGGCTCGGGGTGGGCGCAGGAGGAGCTAAAGCGGAAGCAAGTTCGGGAGGGGGAAGCGCGCGCCACGGCGAGCGCAACAATGGTGCGGAAAGGTTCGGCGGAAGGCGGAGGCGGAGGAGCAGTTTTGGCGACCTCGCGGAGGCGAATCATCCGCTGCAGGGGGGGGAGGTGGACGGAAGCGGGCGGTTCGCGCGGCGACAGGTGGGACAGGTGGGATGTAGGGAAGGCGGTTCTGGTGGCGATATCGCAACGGGCTCGGGCAGGCTCGGAGAAAAAGAATCTGCCGCCGCTGCTGCTGTTGCAGATTTCGCTTTTCCGAAATACGGTGCGGCTAGTAACGGGGTTGCGCGTAGCAGGGATGAGGACGCGCTGCCGGGGCACAGGCGGCGGCACAGCATTACGTGCATCGACACGGAGCTGAAGGAATTCCTCGACTTGGTTGACTTGGACGACGAGGAAGATGCGGAGGAAGCTGCGGAGGAAGTTACGGAGGAAGATGCGGAGGAAGGGGAGAAGGGAGAAGCGGAGGGAGAAGCGGAGCATGAGGGAGGGATGCGCAGAAATGGAAGGAATCTTGTAAGGAGAGATACCAGGGGCCGTCCAGGTGTGACTGCGACTGTTCGTTCCCCTGCAGTAGCAGCAGCATCGCCCACAGCTAGCAACCCCGCGTCTATGCGCACTAGTAACCCTTCGCCTCGCACCCGTTCCGGTCCACTTCTCGCAAACACCCACGCTGCCACCAGCGCCAGCCCGTTTGCGCGCCTCCCCGCGCGGCGCCGCAGCCAGACGTGCATCGACGCAGACCTGAAGGAATTCCTTGACTTGATTGACTCGGACGAAGGGGAGGAGGGGGACGAGGGGGTGGGGAGGGAGCGCGGGGAGGGAGGAGAGGTCGGGGAAACGGGGAAAGGTGGAGAAGGAGGGGAGGAAGAAGGGCGAAGGGTGAGCTTCGAGTTTGTTACGCCTGAGGCAGGCGCCTCTGCCCGTCGCAGTGCTGCCATTGCCGCTGGCACTGCTGGTGGCGCTGCTGCTGTCTCTGCTGCTTCTCCCGGTAAAGCAGCGGCTGCTGAACTGCTCTTCAACCCCTGGAGGCCGGCGGCATTAGCCCCGCCAGCTTCAGCATCAGCCTCGGCGGCGCCTGCCTCGGCGGCAGCAGCTTCGGCAGCAGCCTCGGCAGCAGGCTCGGCAGCAGGTTCGGCATTGACTGTACCTCCTGCCTTTGCTGGTTCGCAGGGCCACAGGCGGCGGCACAGCATCACGTGCATCGACACGGAGCTGAAGGAATTCCTTGACTTGGTTGACCAGGAGGATGACGTGGACGAGTACATCTCCACCAGGGTCGTGCACCTCCCTGCACCGCTTCCCACCGTTACAGACCCTCTTGTGCCAGCACCATACAGCGCAAGAGCAGCAGTGGCAGAGGAACGCACAGGAAGTGGGAAAACCCCTTCTGGCTCCGGTTCTTCCTCCTCCTCCTCCGTTTTCTCCACTGCCCTAACGCCTCTAGCACCCGACGACCTCCCTCTTGGGTACTCCGCCTCTTCCCCCGCTCCCCTCTCTCCAGCCTCACTGTTTTCCCCATCAGCCAGCCCCTTATCGTCCCCCTCAGCACCTGCTGCTGTGGCTGGGTTTCCGCGGCACTCACCAGCAGCACTGACCCCTAATGGTGGCGCCAGCACGCCTAAGAGCGGGGCCATGGCTGCGCAGGTAGCAGCAGCGGCGGGTGCGAGAAGAGGAGGGTGTGCGGGTGGTGACTCAAGCAGGGTTGGCGTGAGCCGCTCTGGTGGCGTTGCGTCTCTGTGGGCCGCTGCCTCACACAACCCTGCCATTGCTCAATCGTCCCGCCGCCCTGCCGCTGCTGCCGTCCCAGGTGCTGTGTACACAGGTGGTGCACCTGCTGCTGCTGCTCCAGCTGCTGCTGACAGGGCGACTGCTCGACCTGCCAACTCGCTGCGTGTGAATGGTCGGCGCCTCAGCGCGGGCGACCTCAGTGCTCCGCTCGGCGGCAGCAGCTTCGAAATTAGCGATTCTGACTACAAGTCTGGTTACCCCACTGGTTATGCCACCAAAGACATGGGTGTAACCATGGCTGTGGATGTGACCAGCAGCGGCGGCGGCAGCAGCAACGAGCGGTCGATGCAAATGTGCTTGAATGAGGCACGGCCGATTGCCGGCGTTTGCTATCCCTCACTTGCTGCCGGCTCCCCTGCTCCCGGTCCTTCTGGTCCTTCCAGCCCTCCTGGCCGCCTTGGGCCTCTAGGGTCCCTAGGCCCTCCTGCCCCTCCTCGCCCTGCTTCCATTGGCAAGCTGCTCGGAGGCGACATTACCAGGGCTTCTGAATCTGCCCGAGCTGCCCCTAGGGTTGGTCAAGATTTTCTTGGGAATGCCCTGCCGGGCAGTGCCTGTGAGCTTTTTCCTGCCCGTGCAAGGCTGCTGCGGCCTGGCACTCCGGGAGTGCCTTCCCTTGGTGGAGCTGGAGGGGCTGCTGATGGCGTGCTGTCCACCCCGATTGCTGCTGCTTCCTCTCTGGCCGCTTCGGCGGGTAAAGGCTCGCAAGCAAGGGCGCACCACAGGCGAAGCAGCAGTGCGGTGGTGGTGCCTCAGTCCTATGAGCTTACAGGTCAAGTTTCAGCTGGTTCGGGGAGGATTTCCTCCATGGGTGCGTATTCCTCCATCAGTGCTGCGGTTCAGAAGGGAGCATGCGTCACACGCCCCCTACGGGAAACCGCGAGTGCGCGTGCATATAATGTGAATTCTATTGCACATGCTTTGGAGACTGCTCAACTGGGGCAGGCTTTTGCCAAGCATTCGGAATTTGCTGGAGTAAGATTTTGAGGCACAGCTGAATCGTTTTGGTGTTGCATAGAGGTTTGGATGTAGGTCTAGGATGCAGGCTTATTGTTCACAATTTTTTGCTATGGCTTGTCTTGGGTGCTTTGTCCTAAAAACGTGTTCTCTCACAATGTAAATTATATTATCAATAATTCGTTGTACATTTTAGCGTAGCAGACGACTGGTGTAGCTGGCTGTTGGGGTGGATGTTGTATAGCCACCGAACTGTTGTGGGAACAATTTCAATGGAGTTATTTGATCGTGATCGTGCAGTCTCGCAAATGTCGCAGAGTCGGATGAGCGGGATGAGAGAATCCTGTCCGTTAATCCTAATATCTGGCGGCCCAGGATGCCTCATACACCCCCCTAAAGCGCACAAACGAGCGAGTCGCTTCTCTACAGAATTGGTCCAGCATTTCCAGCTGTGCACGGCGCACGTTTCCTATCCCCATTTCCCCCACACCCTGCTTGTGTACAACGGCAGTGTATTTTGCTCCCCCGAACCAAACACAGTGGGTAGAGGCCAACATCATAGGCATGCAAATTAGTATGGTAACCCTATGCAATGGTATGCAAAACCGTCGATACCCGAGTCCTGCGGCAGAAGTTTGTCTGGTACCGCCACTGAAACATTGTGGAACAGTTGACGCAGCACAAAAGAGGAAGAAAATTTATGTAGTAATCGATTGCGTTTTTATTGGGTTGCGTAGCAACCTTATACATTCGTTTTCACTTTCCGGTTGGCTGACGTGAACAGTGAATTTCTCCCATCAATTTTGAAAGAAATCACTGTTCATGTAACTTCCCCGAAAAAATGAAAACAAATGTTTCCAACAATTCCATAATCGTCGATAAGTACGGCGAATGGAACAATTGGACAATCGTTCTAGCATAAATAACAATACGAAATGACCCACGAACACAAAAGACAACACAGAAAATGCGTACAACGGTACCACCGAAAGACACACACATACACAAATGACCACAAAATCGATGGTGTACAAGAACCGTCGTACATGTATTGAGGGGAATACAAAATGCATCAATGCAGCAACTGAGATTGATATGGTACGGAAGAGGCGAGCAAAGCTGCCCCTCTGACGATCACAATCCCAGTTGCATACAGAGGCAGTTAGCACCACACCCCCAAAACAAGCACAGACGAAAACGCATAAATAAGTCATAAATGATTACAAAAACAGAAGACAATGTTTAGGAATGTTTTGAAGCAAATGCTAAATGCATCAATGCTGCAACTGTGATTGATATGGTACGGACTAGGCGAGCAAAGCTGCCCCACCGACGATCACAACCCCAGTTGCATACACGAGGCACTTAGCACTATACTCCGAAACAAGCACAGACGGGTACCACGCAAACTTGTACAAAAACATAGAACAATTATTGTGATTGTGAATGCCCTGAAGCAAATGCTAAATGCATCAATGCTGCAACTGTGATTGATATGGTACGGAAGAGGCGAGCAAAGCTGCCCCACCGACGATCACAACCTCAGTTGCATACACGAGGCACTTAGCACTATACTCCGAAACAAGCACAGACGGGTACTACGCAAACTTGTACAAAAACATAGAACAATTATTGTGATTGTGAATGCCCTGAAGCAAATGCTAAATGCATCAATGCTGCAACTGTGATTGATATGGTACGGAAGAGGCGAGCAAAGCTGCCCCACCGACGATCACAACCCCAGTTGCATACGCGAGGCACTTAGCACTATACTCCGAAACAAGCACAGACGGGTACTACGCAAACTTGTACAAAAACATAGAACAATTATTGTGATTGTGAATGCCCTGAAGCAAATGCTAAATGCATCAATGCTGCAACTGTGATTGATATGGTACGGAAGAGGCGAGCAAAGCTTCCCCACCGACGATCACAACCCCAGTTGCATACGCGAGGCACTTAGCACTATACTCCGAAACAAGCACAGACGGGTACCACGCAAACTTGTACAAAAACATAGAACAATTATTGTGATTGTGAATGCCCTGAAGCAAATGCTAAATGCATCAATGCTGCAACTGTGATTGATATGGTACGGAAGAGGCGAGCAAAGCTGCCCCACCGACGATCACAACCCCAGTTGCTTACACGAGGCACTTAGCATTATACCCCGAAACAGACACGAACACCACATCCCAAAATAGACACATGCACATGTGTGCTACAAACAAAACAAGGAAAAAAAAGGCATAAAAAAAAAAAAAAACACATAACAAGTAGGAATAACCACAGACACAACACTATAGACACACGGACGTAACTGACACAAACACCTGTCAGATTTATATGACATAGCTACTGTAGGCTATAGCGGGGTAGCACATATGGGGTACAGTTTTCTAGGGTTTACATTTGTACCCAACTTTCCCTTAGTCAATCTCATTCCTCGTTTCTTCTCATGGTATCGAGCAGGTTCCCTAGTGGGAACGATTCCTAGGGCCCACCACCACGATTTTTTTTTTTTTTCCTGCCCGGAGCGCGCTTCGCTCCGGCCCGAGTCGCGCCCTGTGTGCTCTCCCTACCGTCGCGCCCTCGCTAGGCCCCTCACGGCCCCGTCGCGTCGCCCTTAGCGGCCCTCTCCCGGCTCCCTAGTGCCGCCCTTACGGCCCGTCGCGCCGCCCTTACGGCCCGTCGCGCCGCCCTTACGGCCCGTCGCGCCCGTCGCGCCGCCCTTACGGCCCCTCGTGCTGCCCTTACGGCTCCTAACGCCGCCCTTACGGCCCAGCGAGCCGCCCCTTACGGCCCCTTACGGCCCCTCACGCTACCCTTCGGCCCCTCCCGCTGCCCGTCGGCCCCTTCAGGCCCCCCCTCGCGGCCCTTCGAGCCGCCTTCCGCGGCCTCCTCACCGCCCGTCGCCGCCCTCGGCGGCCCCTCGTGGCCCTTCACGGCCTCTCCGCCGCCCTTCGCGGCCCCTAGCGGCCGGCCGCCCCCGTCTCTGAGGCAGCAGCCGCCGCCGTCTCTGCAGCAGCAGTCGCCACAGCTTCTGCGACTGCTGCCGCGGTCGTCACCAGCCACACCAGCCGCCGAGCCGCCCAGCAGCCGAGCAACCGAGCCGCCGCGCCGCCCAGCAGCCGAGCCGCCGAGCCGCCGAGCCGCCCAGCAGCCGACCGCCGAGCCGCCCGGACCGCCGAGTCGCCGAGCCGCCCGAGCCGCCCAAGCCGCCCGAGCCGCCGAGTCGCCCGAGCCGCCCGAGCCGCCGAGCCGCCCGAGCCGCCGAGTCGCCGAGCCGCCGTACTGCCGAGCCGCCGAGCCGCCGAGCCGCCCGAGCCGCCCTGTCCGGTAAGAGCAGCGCCTCTATCACTGCACTGCCCTTACCCTACTGTTCGCGCTGCTAGTCTACTGCTGTCATGGCTACCCCTAGTGTCCTCGCCTTTGACGCTGAGGGTCGGGCCATTGACTTTGACGTCTGGATAGATGACCTGCAGCTTTTCTTACAGTGCGATAGGGCAGACGGTCTCTCCCTCTTTGACCTCACCTCTGGTGCCTCTCCTGCCCCTGCTGCTGATGCCGACGCCACTGTTCGCTCACAGTGGGCCACACGCGATGCTGCTGCACGTCTTGCTGTGCGTCGCCACCTGCCTACCTCTGAGCGTGCGCACTTTAGCCAGTACAAGAGTGCTCACACCTTGTATGACGCTGTAGTTGCGCGCTACTCCTCCCCTGCCACTGCTGCACTGAGCCGCCTCATGCTACCGTACCTCTTCCCTGACCTTGCTGCCTTTCCCACAGTCGCTGACCTCATTACGCACCTCCGCACTAGTGACACTCGCTACCGCGCTGCGCTTCCTGCAGAGTTCTGCGCCAAGAACCCCCCCCCCATGTACATCACCCTCTACTACATAGTCACCCGGCTCCCTGACTCCCTTCGCGTAGTCAGGGACCACTTCCTCTCAGTTTGCCCCACCACTCTCACCGTTGACCTCCTCGAGAAGGCCCTCCTAGCAGCAGAGAAGAGCATAGTCGCTGTAGGAGCCTCTCGTGGTGACCCTCGCACCCCCGTCTTTGAGGGGTGTTCCCCCTCCCCCCTTTTGCCCTCTGTTGCCTCTGCTGCTGCGGCCGACCTCGTTGGTTTCGAGTCGGTCGGCGCTGCGTCTACCCTGAGCGGGAGACGCCGCCCCGGCAAGGGCAAGGGGGGCAAGGGTGCTGGAGGGGCTGGCGGGGGTGGCGGAGGTGGCGGTGGCGGCAGTGGAGGGGGTGGGGGTGGTGGTGGGAGTGGTGGCGGGGGTGGAGGTGTCGGTGGCGGCAGTGGAGGCGGAGGCGGCGGCGGCGGTGGCGGTGGGAGCGGAGGTGGCGGAGGTGGCGGCGGTGGAGGAGGCGGCGGCGGAGGAGGTGGAGCTGGTCGGGGTGGCGCTGCGCAGAGGGTCGGCTCCGGTGGTGGTCAGCGCCAGCAGCAGCAGCAGCAGCGGCAGCAGCGCACTCGTGACATCCCCCCCCCTCAGCAGCTCCGTGAGTGGTACGCTGCACGCCAGCGGGGTGGGGGTACTGGTCCGTGCACCTACGTCCTACGCACCGGCGACCGCGCGGGTGAGCAGTGCGGGGGTACGCACTCCACCCAGCGCTGCTTTGGCCGCCTCACGGATGCTTGGTGTCACCAGTTCCCTGAGGCCACTGAGATCCCCCGCTGGGGCGAGCTGTCTAGGGCGGGTGTAGCTGTCTTTGACCTTGACTTTGATGCTATTCTTGCTGCCATGTATGCTGTGACTATTAGTGATGAGGGTGACTGTTACCGGTGTTTTCCGCCCGACCCGGGCATTGAGACTGCTGCTCTAGGTACTGGTGCGGCTGCTGCTCTAGGTGCTAGAGAGGCTGCTGCTCTAGGTGCTCGTGCGTCTGCTCCCTCAGGTGCTGGTGAGTCTGCTCTCTCAGGTACTGCGTCGGCTTCGGCCTCCCACACCTTCACCCTTGACTCGGGGGCTTCTCGCTCCTTCTTTTGAGACCGCACCACACTCACGCCGCTTGGCC